ATACATCAACTAAAAAGATCGAACGTTACGAAATTAATCTTTTCGCCTAATCTGCATTTTCTTCCTTACTTTTTCTTGCTAGATAACGTCGTAATATTATCTAAAATAGATGTTACCTAAAACGGAAGAAGTAGATTGGACCAACATTGCACGTCGATTTCCTGGATCATAACGATTCATATTAAATCGAGTGGATATGTTTGGACGCATCCTTCTAAAACGTTACGTCAACGTAACGTCAAACATTCCAGCTATATTAAGCGATCTAAGCCAAGTAATCAAAACATAATAAATTATATATAGAATTAATTTGCAATTTTTTTGCTGTAAAAAAATTTTTTTTGCTCTACCATTAAAAAGTTATAAATGGCTAAATAGCTTAAGATTAAATTATAATGATCTCGTAATACGTAAGTCAAAGCAATTAATAGTACGATTAATTTTTAGCACTAAAATTTTTTGTTTTTTTTTTTGCTATATTTTTCCTTCAAAAAATTTTTTTTACTCCAGTTTTTAAAAAGATATCAATAACAAAATACGGCATTCAAGAATAAAACATATTAAAGAAATGAGTTGCTCGCATATTATTATAGTATTTATTCTTAAGTGTCATATTTTGTTATTGATATCTTTTTAAAAACTGGAGTAAAAAAATTTTTTGAAGAAAAAATGTAGCAAAAAAATAACAAAAAATTTTACTACTAAAAAATTAATAGTACTATTAATTGCTTTGACTTACGTATTACAAGGTCATTATGATTTAATCTTAAGCATAGATAACTTAAGATCTATCCATTCGTAACTTTTTAATGGTTTGGGCAAAAAAATTTTGACAGCAAGAAAAACAAAAGATTAGCAAATAAATTCTATATATAATTTATTATGTTTTTTAATTATTTGGCTGAATTGTTTATTGCTCCATATGAGAATATCTGACGTTACGTATTATGTGCATCCAGTTTATCTCGATACTCCAATAGCTACAACCAAACCTGAAAAGAGACATCAGCAATGTCTTCCTTTCTCTCTCGACCTGTCAAACTCGACCTGTCAAACGAATTCCTCACGTGCACGATCGCAGATTTAACTTTGTAAAATCATGCGATTTAAATCAGCAAAACGTTTTTCAGTCCACAGAACGGTAGAACCTACCTGAAAATTAATTTCGAAGACATCACGTTTGTTTCACTCGTCGCGATTAAACAAATCGTAAAACGTGAGAGCGTCGTAAAATACTACTGATTTGACATTGGATATATAAAAGGTTGCGGTATTTCGCGACAAAAAAATAAAATTTCGCACGCATCATTTCTCTTATTACGTGACTCCAACGCAAAATTTTATTATTTATCTGATCTCACGACACGAAATAAAAAAGAGAAAATTACCTGATATTCTTTTATAATTGATAGATATTATATTTTTATTCAAATAATGATTTGTCTAATTTTTTTTATTTTATTTTAATTTTTTATTTTTATCTGGATAATATCGTATTTTCATTATTCCATTATTAACATATGTACGATTATTTATATAAATAATAGTAATATATATATAATAATAATAATGATAATAGAAATAAAAGCATTTTTCTACATAATAGTTAGAGAGTTTTATTTATCTAAAGGAGTTTTAAATTTAAAATAAAGAACTGAGAAAGAAATCGAAATAAACCGAACGTAATTAGAAGAAAAATAAATTATATATTAATATTTGTTTTAATTAATAATTTTCAAATATTTACACATTTAATAAGAATTCAAATATAAAATACTACTACATCAATATTATACCGAGGAGTGTAAATAATGAGAATAATGCAAATAATGAATAACAAATAATATGATTAATGCAACGAATAATATCGTTAAAGAATAAAATTTTAACTGAATAACAAAATAAATATCTAGAAATACATTGTAATAAGTACTCATCTTTTTTTTAACATATCAAAGATGACACGTGCTAAAATCAAGTATAGGATCTTCTAATTAATCACGTTGCACGCGAAGATAAATTTGATTAATGATGCACACATTCGTATGGATATTCGATTCATTCGTTCACATGTAATTCAATAATAAAATGCGTTAGACGCACTGTCGCGTACGCACTTCTCGAAATACAAAGCGTAACGTAATTACCTTGATGGCGCGATAAAATGTTCAACATACATTTTGCTAACGTGATAGCTTCGACTTCCGAGCGTTTCACTAATTCAATCGCTTGTTACATACATATATCGCACGTATATTTCGATTTACAAACGATTGTGCTGCGATACTTCCGATGCGCATTAATGCATCAAAGTAAATTAATTACTAGAGCGTGCATGTGCTCAATTATATTTGCAATTTAGTTATCTTATCTCGGGATAAACGGTTTTGTTGCGTTAAATGTACACGAAAATTATGTTCTATTACGTAAACGCGATTTTGGAACATTTACGGCGAAAATGATAGAAAGTGTTATTTCGATGTAAATTATTATGCTATTAGTGTATGTATAAAAGTTTAAAATTAAGTATATATACATATTTATTATATTTATATTATATATCTATATATAAAATATATATTATATATATAAACTGTATATTAATATATATATATATTTATATTTATATATAAAATATATATTAATATTTAAAATATATATTAATATATAAATTAATATATAAAATATATATATTAAGTATTTTTTATTCTATTAAGTATTTTCAATAAAATAAATAACTTTAGTTATAAATAAAAGACAATAACAAATTTTTATGATTAGTTATGTAATTTAATAATGTCGATAAAAGTCGACATTTTTTGCTCTGCTTGAATAAATAAATCATTACCTCGATAAACTTTATTCGCGCAAGACGTAACGGTATATCAAATCGAATCAGTAAAATCTGTCCTAATTCTCGAAGTAGCGACTTCGTTCCCTTTTTGAAATTCTTGTCACAATTTTCCTTTGTGTTTATTCTACATTACGACTTCTCGGTCAAAGACGATCGTTGACCGAGAGAGTAGAGAGTCAAGATTTTGAGGTTTCGAAATGACTAAATCGCAAGCCGAGTGAATTGCATAACCCGGAAATTATCATAATTCTGTAATGTTTCGAATAAACAACAACAAGGAAATAATGCGTAATAAAGACGGACGAGTCGAGGAGAGTAATTTAATTTCTATACGGAAATCATATCGAATCTATATATAAAATTATAAAATTATATCGGCGCATATTGCTTTATGAAGTTGTACAATATTCATATATTACAGTCTCGAATAACAATTTGCATTTATCTCAACACTTCTGACATAGATATGATCAAACTATCAATCTCATCCTATCATTAAAGCCCGATTCTCCTCGATACACTTACAAGACCATAAAAAGTTAAACTCGTTCTACGGAACACATTCGAGATGACTGTAAATTACCTAGTTACGCGTATATAATCAACGAGTGAACAGGGAAAGAGAGAGGCGATAGTATCGCCGGTAATCGCCGATAAGTCAATTGTAATCTCTGAAATAAAGTGAAAGGAAGCCTTATCCTCTCTCTAGATCGAGAACGAAGAAGAATTTCACTTGTTTCGTTCAGCAAATTTTGATAAATAGATAACATCGTTATGTTAAACCAACAGAATAACATCCTTGAAACGAGAGTTTCATCGCTGAATTATCGCGTGCACTGAGAAACAAAGTTGTTCACTTCTAAATCGTAAAACTAATTAATATTTTATTAATTAACTATATTTCTACACGGTAAAAAACATTTCGTATTTCTGTTGAAATTATCTTGTGTAGAAATTTTTGTGTTAAATTTTTAACATACTCTTATGTTAATATAACATATTGTCGTTATGTTATTTTGACATTTGTCTGTTGAGTTAATATTCACTATTTTTAAGTGTCAAAACAACACAATTAAATGAAAATGTACGAATTTTTGCTTATATTATATTTTTTTTTTATATTTTTGTGTTATTTTTTCACATATTACGTGTGTTATTTATTTACATATTTGTCCTCTGTTAAAATGACATTAAAATTAGAGTAGATAAATTGAGACATGTGAAATGTGTTAAATTTAACATAAATTTTTTTACTGTGTAGAAGTATTTTTAAGTCAAATACACATTATGTTCGATTTAATCTGCTGTATTTAATTTAAATATTTATATATGTATATGTGTGTAAATCATTATTAATTTATAGTATTTTTATTATATTTTTTCTATCATCAACTAAATTTTGAAATATAATTTTATAAATAATTTGTTATCCACTTAATATTGAAATACAGTTGAAAAATTTGTGTTAAATTTAATATAGATATCCCAAATAGCCCACAGAAATTATTATGTTAATTTAACATACTATTGATATATTAAACGGAGACACGAATATTGTGTTAATATTTTTAACACAAAATAAATGCAAAACTTGAAATAATTTAAAATAAATTTTGTGTAAAATTAACATAGTTTTAATGTAAAAATGTACCATCCCCTCACTTCATATTATAAAATAAAAAATCAACATTTTTTTTTATTTGTAAATTTTAACAAATAAATCTTGTCACTAACAAAACAGAACATATTTATTATGTAAAATTAAAATGTTATTTTTACACCTTTTTTTCAGTTGTCTTAACAATTTAACATTTAAGTTCAATTAACACAACAGCAATATGTTAAATTAGCATATGTGAAGGTGTGAAATATTTAACACAAAAATTTCAACAAGGACCTTTTTTTAAAAGAAAACACAAACTCTCCAATATGTATTATCAATAAATTTATTATATTAATAATTTATTAATAATTATTAACAAATTATGAATAAATGATGAATACAATAAATGATTATCCAAAAGAGCAACGGGAGGGAATAAAAGAGATTGTTTCATCAAGAAACTTTTCTTGAACAAAATTTCGATCCACCGCTTCGTCGTTAAATCGCGCGATTAAAAAGTGTCCCAGGTCCTCGAGATCGGCCGATCGAATCGAAAACGAGTCGTCCGTTTCTCCGCGCGCGAACAGGCGTAGATATGTACGGGCAAACAACACATCTTCGCGTGGTCGACGATGAAGAACCGTCCTGGTGGGAGGGCAAAACTCTCTCTCTAGAGCTCACAGCTGATCATTAAAGCTACCGTTGGCACAGTCAAACTTTCACGCTCGGCGATACCGCGAACTTCGCTTTGCGAGCGAGCTAGTATATGCATCAAGAGACCTGCCGATATTTCAAGGTCCGCGCTTCCGTCCGCGAAGCGAGACGATGCGCGAGCGTGCGGGATGGAAAGGATCGTGACTGGAAAAAATTGAGCGGGAATAGATACACGAGTACGACAGAAATCAACCCCGTGGTGATAAATTTCTTCTGCTCCGAAATTGGAGTTCTACACTCTTCCCTTGCTTGCGCCGACGGTTTTTGTGCAGCGAAGTATATTAAATCGAATTCGATGATTTCAGACAGCTCGGAGAGAGAGAGAGAGAGATCCTTTTTTGTGTGCAACGTGTGTGGGTGGGTGTGGTTCTCGTTGAATTGCAAATTTTACGAGAGCGGGTTTGATCAATTATTCGCGGATAGAATCAAGGGTATAATTTGCGGGAATATTAATATTTGAATATACAAAAGTGTGGACTCTCTGGCTCCGTTTACAAATTACAGATCGAGGAGGAGAAATTAACTGGACCTCAATTTAAAAGGTATTCCGAGAGAAAGAGAGAGACGGATTCGCTTATTTGCATAGTGTAATTTCACGCGTGCCAAGAAATATCTCAATCGCGAAAGTTTTGAATGAAGCGAAGATGATAGACGAGAGGTCGCAGAAGGCGGGAAGCTAGCTCGAATATTTTCAAGATCGAATTATCACGACGGGCGATCGCGCTTATACATACGAGGCGTGCGTTATTAGTGAAAGTCTGCGTACAGTTTGAAGATCAGGACTGGCGTCGCCGTGGAATCGCCGTGAAAGGGGTAAAGAAGGTCAGAGGAAAGGAAGGATTAAAGAGTTCTCTGCGCCTTCGGTCCCCGGAGAAAGGAACGGAGCAAATTGAGCGAAAATCGGCGGAGCCGATATATCTCGATGCGGATGTTCATTCTTTCGAGTTTCAACACGCGCGAATCGGTCGGTTTCGCGCATATCTCGAGAGAGCCCACTCCTCCTCGAATATAGTGTATACTAGACCGGAAGAAGAAGTTCGAGAGCACTCTCTGGACGAGGAGATACGCGAAGCTTCACCGAAGCTTCTCCTCGAGAGCTATCCGGCGCAAAAAGATTTTCCGGAAGAAGTATTAGATCGAAGAAGTTTAGAATCGGATATCTCTTGTAAGAGCGTGACTTTGTAGTGTCGCGTACTGGGGAAATAAAAAGTCGCGGCGCAAAAACACGGATAGCCGATGATAAATGGAGAGATTTGTCACCGTTGCTTTTTTTTTTGTAAATTGACGATATTTTAAACGCGCCGTGAGAATTGGAAAAAGAGAGAAGAGAAATATTGATGTTGTCTGATTGTAAAACATATATATGTATGTACACATACAGATCAAAGTGTGCGGTAAAGATACAAAGTGCAGTGAAAAGCAAGTCTTAAACTGGATACCTTCGTGTGCGGTTTTTCCAGCTTTTAAGTCGAAATAGAGAGACTAGAAAAAACACGATACATGTTTATAGAAAACAAATTGATTCAAGTGGATTTAATAATTGAATAACTTTCGATTTTGCTTTGTGCTGTATAAATTAGAATTTCGACATTGAAATGAATATCAAAAAGGTGTAAGTAAGAGTTTAATAAATTCTCCAGAAAGCTCGTTGGTCATCTGTCAGCATTTGTATAAAGATACTAAAAACAACGCGAATCTCTGTTACATAATTAATTTACCAATCTACATAATCAAAACTCGTTTACATAGAAATTTATGCATCGGGGAAGAAAGCGAGATCGATGGAAAGGCTGACGAGATAGTTTCCGAGTTACACAATCGACAAATTCTCTTCCCTCTCTCAACCAAGAGGAGAGAGAGAGAAAGAGAGATATTAGGAAACTTTATATTTACGATCAATCTTTCATTCGGGAGAGTCAAAAGAATCCATTTATCGAATAGAACCTTGCAGTGCAGAGATCCTCGCAAAAGATCCCGGCAGTAAACTTGGCGTATAAAGCGAGATGGCATCTTTGAAGCCATTCGCGCATGCCGGAAGCGAATAAGAATTGAAAGGAACCAGTAAAGCGCGCGTGGCGTTGCGATTCCGCCATAGACATTCAAATTTCAGGCCGAAAGATTCTTTTTTTTCCACGGTGCATTAGAATGACAATGCGCTTCCTAGCTTGATGAGGCCACTTGTTTACAACGCGAGAGAGAAAGAGTGAGAGAGAGAGAGACCGCAAACTATTATACACCGGCGCGTTTCGAGGGAGAAAGAGACAAGAGTGAATTCCCGAAACGCGCGCAAGAATAAGAAGGCGAAGGATGCGCGCAACATCAGTCGCAGAGACGATCGGCGATCGGGCGAGACATCGCGACGCGACGACCACGAAAGGATCGCGATTAATCGATACCGCGAGCCGGACCGCGTAGGAGGACCGTCCGCTCCTCATCTGTCACCTGTCATCGATCAGCTGATCGCGAACTGACAGATCATCCCTCACCGGCCGCTCGACTTCATCGACGATCCAGCGAAAGGATATGGATGTGTCCGCGATTACGGACCTCTGCGAGATCGTCCTTCTCCGCTGAGAAGGTGTCGCGATTATCCTCGCGCGGGAATCTGAGAAAAGTGACAAGGAAAGAGCGAGAGAGCGCCGATAAGCGAGACAATCCGCAAAGATGACGGGTCGCGTCGCTCTCCTTCTAGGCACCATCTCGATGCTGATCGGGCCCCTGCTAGGATACAACGTCCTGCTGGCCACCATGGGTGGTACCAAGTCACACACGGTGCCCTTCGTCGCCCTTGGTACGAGTCTGAGCTCGCGGGGCCACAACGTCACGCTGCTGAGCGCTTTCTCCGGTCCCGCGGCGAATAATGGCCTTCACGAGCTGGTGCCGTCGATCCTCGAGGTGATTTACGATTCTACTCCCGCACAAACTCTCGATACCCTTGTCCTCTCCCCGTTCAAGGGGTAAAACCGCGACCCCCTTCCTTCGAAACCACCGTGGGCTATCGCTCTCTCGCCGTCCAATTTGCCTCTTGACCCGGCTAATTTTATTACACGCGGTGCAATTTACCAGTTCGCTTATACCTTATACATCGCTCTCGTTGATTATCTTCTTTCTTATATCTCCGCTCTCTCGTTTAAGGATTTTTTAATTTTTTTTTTGTAGGATGCATATAGGCGGGGCAACTTTTGAGTGTAATGGGACATTTCGAATAATATTAAGATTTATCGTGTATTGTGACTGTAAAAGAGTCGGGAGATGCGATGGCAAAAAAGTCTTTTGAACAGCAATATAATTTAAGAAACGTAAAAAAATAATTTTTGTTTTTTAAAGCCATCCCTCTTTCTTTGTATAATAATAATATCTACCGCAATAAGATATAAAACACGTTCCATTAATTTTTTCTTGTGTTAAATTCCAATTGTTCCATATTGTCTGACGATTACCATGATTTTCAGGGAGAAAATTCTAAGAGAAAATTCTCTCCGTGTACCAAGATTTAATCTCTTAAAGCAGTTTACTCGCAGTTCTACTGTGAGTCTTAGAGAGACGAGTCTTTTTTCTCGCGAAACTATCTTCGGGAAGACGCGACCTTCGAAGTTTGATCCCCGAGCGGCGAAAGTTCGACGGATCGAAATTCGAAGTTTCGGGATTAAAGTGCCGCGGGAAGAGAAATTTATTTATCACCCTCGCGCGTAACTCTCACGACGCAGGCATACGTCGAGAACTTCACGTCCGAGTGGGACCTGATGGGCGCCAGATTCCGGAACGAGCTGCCGATCTCGCCGTGGGACGCCATGAGGTACGGCTGGGAGTCCTGCGAGGCGTTGCTGCGAGACGCGGCTTCGACAGCCGGTCTGAGAAAGCCGGACGGGAATCCGCGAGCGCGATGGGACGTTGCGGTCGTCGACGGCGCCTTTCCCGAGTGCCTGTTGGGGATCCTTCACGGCGAGAATGTGCCGACGATAATGCTCAACACGGTAATAAGCTGTTCGCCGAACCGCAAAATTCGTGACGGAAGTCTCTTCCGCTCTTTCATCCCCTTTGAGTAATTCTGTCGGAATTCCCTATCTCGCTGTGTCAACAGTCGGCTTCTACTTCAATTACTTGTGTAATTTTACACGAGAGAAAAATCTGTTTTCTTGTTAAAAACGGTCCTCATGCAAATTTAACACGTTCATGTGTTCATTTAACATATTACTGTTCTGGTATAATTGAACTTAAATGTTAAATTGTTAAAACAATTGAAAAAAATGTGAAAATAACACAATGTGCATCTGTTTTTAATTTTACGCAATAAATATGTTCTGTTTTCTTAGTGACAAGATTCATCTGCTAAAATTTAAAAATGAAAAAATGTTGATTTTTTATTTTATAATATAAAGTAAAGGGATGCAACATTTTTTTACATTAAAAGTATGTTAATTTTACACAAAATTTATTTTAAATTCTTTGAAGTTTTGCATTTATTTTGTGTTAAAATATTTATGTCTCCATTTAACATATCCATATTGTGTTAAATTAACACACAAATTTCTATGAACCGTTTGGAACATGTGATATCTGTTAAATTTAACAGAAAATTTTCAATTGTATACGTACATATACAGGATGACACAAAACTAGTAGTAAACCTGTTAATGACAGATAATTTGGAGACAATTTTTCCTTAACGAAAATGTCGAGGCATCAATCATTTTCGAATTATAAGCGATCAAAAATAAGGGGTCTTTCGCAAACTAAGCCTTGTGAAAATTAAATGTCAATCATGGAACGATTAAGATGGATTATTAATTCGTATATTGTATAAATTGTAGCGGTAAAAAGGAAAAGAGCGATGCAGGATTATATGTAATCCCATCTCTTTATATTAAAATTATCAAGATATTTTAAATATAATGAGAGATACAACAACATTTATAATTTATATATAAAACACTAATTTTTTACTTACTTTGCATTTATTGATGGTTAAATATCTATAAGCTAATAATTTCATACTTCCTGGAAAAAGTCTATTAAATTGAAATGCGAAGCTCAAAGTGGATTTTTCATATCAACCTCAGTTTAAGTTTTTATCCCTATATTTAATCCTTCATTACTTATTTTTATATAACTTCTAATTTTGATTTTTATAACAGTTGTTCTATAAAATAATCAATTTACATCTAAATTAAATATATTGAAATTTTTTTAGAATTCTCTCTCTCTCTCTGGCATAAAAATAAATAATAAAGAATTAAATATAGGGATAAAAACTTAAACTGAGGTTGATATGAAAAATCCACTTTGAGCTTCGCAAATTGATAATGAAATTATTAGCTTATAGATATTTAAAAAAAATGATGATCTGAAATAACGAAATAACAATAAAATAAGTTATAAAATTAGATCGCAAGTACGAGACAAATTTTAATTCGAGAATGAGATGTAAATTTCGACATAATAGTGATGTAAAGTTTCTTCTTTTCACTGCTCGATTCCACTTACCGAAAATATGTAACGATGTCAAAGAAAAATTATATATTCATCGTGATTATCTCACGAGTATGGAATGCACAAAAAACAGCTTGTTTGTCGTATCCTGGCATTTACGTACATAAATGAAAAGCAAACGCTGAATCTCGTGTTCGCTCGACTATGTATAACTAATATGACGATACGCGAAATAATCGCTTCCTTGCATAAATAATTTATATACATCTCTCTCGAAGGTGCTAAAATGGTTTTAGAAATTCACGAGTTCTTCAACTATTCTGTTTGTATATTAATTTCGACCTGCTTTCGTCATTCGTTTAATGACGTCGACGACGTGTAATTTTTTTTTCCTTTTTAAAAGAAGAACATTATTTTTCTCCAATTTTTTCCCCTCAAAATTAAATCGTACAAAATCAGTCGCATTCGATGCATCATTAATAACGAAATAACGATATGTTATGTTGTGCAGGTGGCACTTTACAGCGGTTCCATTATGCGACAAGGCAATCCGTCACCCTGGTCGGTGACGCCGTATTTCGGCAAAGCGATTACGCAAGACATGAACTTTTTCCAAAGGGTCCAAAACGTGGCGGCACAATTCACTCTGAAAATTATGCACTGGATCACAGTTTCCATTTATCTTCGGCCGACTCTTCACAAGTATCTCGGTGAGCGCTCGAACTGTCAGGCGCATTCTTCTGCCGTTCGTTGACGTTTTATTGGTGAAAGTTCGCGAGCTACGCTATAATATACATAATCTCGTGCACATCTCTTATTTGTAATTGGATACTCGATCACTAACAATGAGTGGTGATTTTTTTGCTTTCGACAGGTGATCATATACCCGACGATCTGTACAGTTTAACGGCGGAGGTCCCTCTGACTTTGCAAAACAGCCACTACGTCGTGGCCGATTCCGTGCCCTACTTGTCAAACGTCGTGAACGTCGCTTGCCTTCATTGTAGACCGGCGATGCAATTAAATCCCGATTTGGAGTCCTTTCTGCGACGTGGTAATATCGCAGGCATATTCTTCTTTCTTCCCTTTCACTTCCGATTTTCTTTTCTACGTAAGATTCGGATTAAGAGCTGCCTAAAGTTTTTATACAAATTATCGTAAACGTAAAAATGCCATTTTCAAGCATGTTTGTATTCATATAATAAAATATATGTTTTTTAATTAAAATATTTATTTTATTTTATTTTATTTTATTTATTTTATTTTTAATTAAAATTTTTGTGAACCAATTTCGTGCGCCTATAGAGAGAGAGAAAATAAAAATATCAACACACATTATTTCGACGAAATGATTAATAAAACTGCTACATATTCGCTGTTTGTAATTGATTTGAAATCCCTTCAGGCGTAAAACTCGTTTAAACGTCCCGTGTCAGTGTGACGACATCTCTTGCATATTACATAAGGGATACCGTATTCCATATTTTCGTGTCATGTTGACGCTCTATCTTTCCACGCGGTGACTCACGTGACTGCGGCTCTTGATAAGAATCTCGGGACTAAAGATGACGAACGTACATAGGTACACCGAGATGCTGAGCAAACTTGTCCGCAGGTTTCGTGTTCGTCTCCATGGGATCGTCGGTGCAGGCTTCCGGAATGCCGGAAGCTCTACGGCAAATCTTCGTCGCGGTTTTCTCCGCGCTACCGTACAACGTCATCTGGAAGTGGGAGGGTGCCAAGATCAAAGATCTACCGGCAAACGTGAGAACGGCTGCCTGGTGGCCGCAGCAGGAGCTCCTCGGACATCCCAAACTGCGGGCCTTCGTTTCCCACGGCGGTCTCTTATCCCTTCATGAAGCAGCTTATCACGGCGCACCGACCCTGGTTCTGCCTGTCTTCTGCGATCACGATGGAAACGCGGCGCAGGCTGGTAAATCATTTCTCTTCGCGACCAAATTTATCTTCCCCCGGTGAAAGAATAAAGGCTGGTCGAGAAGAGTTTCGCTTTTTTTTTTTTTTTTCAAAACACGAATAGATAATGATATGTAGGAAGTGATTTATCATTGATGAAAGTAGAAAAAATAATTCAAGTCGGAAGGAGAAACTGCAAATTAATTTGAATGAAAATTTATGTCCAGCAGACTTAATGGAAAAATTTCTACACAGAGAAAATTTTCTCTTAGAATTTACCCTGAAAAATCATGATAATCGTGGGACAATATGGTATTGGAAGAATTTTATAAGAGTTTTAACTGATTAATATTTACCACAATAAAAATATTAATATCTACCACAATAAGATATAAAATATACTCGATTAATTTTGCTATGTACATAATAAAATTTACTATACACCTATTAATATTTTTTATTATGGAAAATATTAATAAAAGAAATTCTTGTAAAATTCTTCCAACTTCTAAGAGAAAATTCTCTCCGCGTAGAAATTAATTGTTTCCCTGACTTTTTAGTATTATTTTTCCCAAATATATAATTTGCATGTATCTATATGATAAATCAATTAAATGTTAAATCATAAAATCCTTGAGATATTTTTGTCAACAATGAAAAGGTTCGGAAGTTAAAAAAACAAAAATTTAAATCAATTCATTACGCACGATAATCGAAACAAACATGTCACTATAAACTATTTAAATAATCACCTTTTTATTTATATTATATCACATTTTTTAGTTTTATCTCTATTAAATATATAATCGATTTTTAATAACACAGAAAATTTGCGTATTGGGAGTCAAGAAAAAGTTAATATTTATTTAATAAAAAATTTCAAATTATTGAGACAAATGTAGAATAATGTGAAAAAATCCAGATAAATAGTAAAACTTCCTGACAATTCCGGATTTCTAAAATTCTCTGACAATGCCCGGTTTCCAGATTTCCCTGACCGCTGTAGGCACCCTGATGTCGTTAGAATTTTCTGTTTCTACATATATAATTCGTAAAAAATATAAAAAAAAATATATCTAGTCGATAAATGATTTTTTCTTGGAATTGGTTCAGTAATATTTTCGTGTATTTATTGAATACAGATAAATTGGGGTACGCTTTGGTAATGGATTTGGCTGGCATATCCATTAGTACACTTCACGAAGGTATACTCGAAGTCGCCGCACTCCACAACAATTCTTATCGAGAGGTAGCTAAGAAGAGAAGCGCGTTGCTACGCGATCTTCCGATTGATTCCAGAGAATTGGCCACGTGGTGGGTAGAACACGTCGCCAAGCATGGAGGAGCCGATCATTTGAAGAGCTCGATCAGGTATATTTTTTTTTTGCAATATTATCATTATACGCTTCCATTCTACTTCTAACCGTTCGCGTCTTTGTAAGAAATGGTTTCCTATTTCATATCATTTTTTTTTCATCTCTCTTGTAATATCTCAATTCTGTTCTCTTCTTATTTTTGCACATTACTCTCACATTACTACCCTCTGACATGTTATACGTCTCATCTTAAAATAACTTGCTCTTATCTTTCTCTCTCAACAAATATACTCGTTATATTTCTTTCTATTCGATTCCATTATCTTCTTGTAGATCCGCTGTATCTTCATATTTACACATCAATATTTTTATTATGTTTCCTCTAAATGTATTTCCTCTTCTCTATTCTCTTCTTATACTATAATTAATTTTTTATATCTTGTACATCTTGTACAGATATTCGTATATACTTAAAATTCTTTTCTTAACTCTATTAAACTCTATTAAATATTTTATTTCTTTCTTCCTTTTTCAATTTTTTCCTTACTTTATTCCTTTTTACTGCTTTCTTATTATTTATCGTAAACTTTATTTATAATTTTTTAATTTTTCTTTAAAATAAAAACATCAAGTATTTCACACACATAATTGCATCTTTTCTAGTTCCTTTTAATCTTCATATCGTTATTAAAATTATTAATATATTGACAAAATTATTTAAATAAATATAAAATGTATTGAGATATATTCGATATAGCAAATAAATCTCTGGCATTTAGATTAGTCTTTGTAATATAATCGCTAAGAAAATAAAATACTTATAATAATATGATAAATAAATCATCAACAGAAATTTATTAGTTTTCAGCTGGCAATAAATTATAATAAAAATTGGGCATACATTTTTTGTTCGTTAAAAAACATGATAGTTTCATTTAAAAAAATTAAGATCTTGTTTTTTTTTATCAAATACAAGGTGTTTGGCATATTTTTATTGTTGCAATTTGTCGCCGATAGAAGCTGATTTTCATGATTTTTTGATCGGATTATTATAAGTGTTTTAAAAATCGCGACGATCGAAAACTATTCTCTATATACAAAACTAGAGAAATTATATAAATATCAAATGCAATGTTTTTCAGACACATGAGCACGATCCATTATTACAGTATGGACGTCGCAGTATTTTACATATCGAGTTTAATCCTAATAATTTACGGACTCAAGAAATTGTGCTGGCGAGCAGTAATCAGTCAGGACGTCTTCAAGAAGAAAGTAGACTGACAATGAGAGCTATAATTTCGTGGGAAATCTCCCGTCAAATTTATTTTATTTATTATATAGGCTATACAATCTTTTAATTAATATTAAATAATTTAATTAATTATATTGAATATGTTTAATTGGGATAAAGTGGGATCCATAGAAGAGAGAGATTCGTTCGGCACGCGCAAACTTTTTTTAAAGATCTCTAATATATTTTTAAGACAGCCTAATTATAAGTTATATTTGTAATTAATATAATAAACTTGTTTAATTTGTATACATCTCTCTCGTATCTGTCTCTCTCTGTTTACGTAAGTACATTTAAAAATTTATAGATACGAGAGGTAAGATACTTTTATATCTAGTATATTGACGTATGTTGTATATATTTCTTCTCATTACGAAATGTTTTAATTGCTGATATAACAGGATTTTACCGGGAGATGTTATAACTGTGTAGCGACTAAATGACAGCTGTTATAGCAGCAATCGTGAAACTGCGCTTTCTACATTATCCACATTTTTAAATAAGTAACATAATAAATTTCGTTTATTGTTATAATAGTTTACTTACAAATTTAGAAATAATCGATATTTTTATATTTATGATTTGTGTGTGTATATGTTACGAGAAAATTGATAAATTTTATATTAAGTTTGTGTGTGTTAAATCTATTGTAAATAAAATAATAATAAAAATTAAAAACTGTTAGATAATATACATAATTTGCAATACGTCATAGATTATCAAATGAATAACAACTCAGTATGAAGTCTCAGTATTTATATTTAGTTTCAAAGTATAGATATGCATATTTAAAAGGTAATTAAATTGTTTTCTCGGTAAAATTATTCCACATTTCAAACATGGATAAAAGGTAACAAAGCCATAGTTCCTAACACAAAGCTTAATACGCAAAATGACATTTTAACACGTAAAAAAGTTCCAACATAAAGCAAGCAATGCATGTTGCAAAAATGTCGCAAACAAAGTTAAAAATTAATGAACACTTTTATAGATAAGAGGATGAGTATCTCAAAGAGTGAAAAAAATGTTAACAAACATCAAGATTCGCGATTTTGTTCTGCACAATAGAATACGTACTAATTTGACGATAATTGAGAATTTTTATGATGGATATCTACATTCGGAAATTGGCTTAGAATGTTGCGATGTTTCCTTTGAAGAAATCAAAGAGCGAGATGACTCGCGCGCGCATCTGATAACAGGGAGCAGTATAATGAGTTGTAAGAGGAGAGAGAAAACCAGACGGATGAAAGAGGCGATCGAAGTGGATAGAAACCAGATGTCGACTATCGATCGCTTGTAACGCGCCAATTACTCGCAAATATTTATCTAAGGAACATTCATCGCTATCGCGAGTTATCTCGTCAGGTATGTCGATCAGTTTTGTTGATTTGATACGGTGGCGTAACAGAAATCATTATCTAGCATCATTAATACGATAAACGAATAGACAGATACAAGAACCTCGCAGCCTTGACGAAGGACAAATAATATCGGGAACACATTTTTTATATATATTATAAATAATTGTATAATTATACATATAATCGTAAAATTATGTGAAATATGTCTATTTTTATACATAATTATATAAATTTATATACATATATAAATTATAAAGGTTCATATATAATCATGTCAAATTATTTCATATATAATTTGACATGATTATATATGAACCTTTATAATTTATATACATATATAAATTTATATAATTATATATAAAAAGCACTTTTATCTAATTATATATGGACATATATATTTCATATATAATTTTGCGATTATATGCCCAGATAGCCACAGTAATTATTATGACATCATTTTGATGGCAAATGATGCATTTTGACATCAAAATGATGTCATAATAATTACTGTGGCTATCTGGGTGTATAATTTTATATATTATTTCTAATATAATTTTATATATATTTTTATATAATTTTATATTAGATAAAAAATTTCTATATAATTTTATATTGGATAAAAAATTGTTTCCTGGGATTAATCGGAAAATAATCGAAATTATTTAATTTCGGGAGTATCTCGGCACGTAGAATAGATTTTTAAATAATTTAATTTTTTTTCAACTAATAAAAATATTTGATTCTCATAAACGATATGATTATTCTGCATCTCGCACTATTATATAGATTTTTTTCTTTAATTTTTTTTATAAGTATTTAGAAAATAATGAGAAAAAAACTGTCAGAATCTTCATTCTTAGTACGTCGGGCTAAAAACACTTTTTTTATCCTTAGCACTCTTTCTCAGCACCCACTTCATTTTATATATGCATAATAAAAACCGTTTTAATAATATGTATATAGTGTATACGAGGTGTTGCAAAGGAAAATGCACAAGATCACATAAGCAAATATAAAATGTTAAATAATTCGACGAGATCTAAAAATTTTGTAAAATACTTTTTGTAAAAATCGAAATAAAAATACGTAAGATATAACATTCTATTTTAGTTACGCGCGATAAATAGAAGAAAACAAATCGTTTGCAGAAAATTGCTTTTGTAACAGATTTGATTTTTCGCTCTACATTATGAAGCATTTTTTTACTTAATTTAATGAATAATGTTTATTTTTAGAAACCTTATATTTTAAATAAAAATTTTTTTTATTAAATTTAAATTAAAAACTTATATTTTAACATCATGTATAGATATATGATCCTATCCCAGCCAAAAATGATTGACGAATCGACGTCGACTCGACCAATCATTTCTGGCTGGAATATGATATTTTGATGATGCTGAAGAAGAGCTCCGTTTTTTTCCGATTTTGTCGAAACTTTACAATATTGTGTATTTTAGTGCGTAAAATACGAATCTGTAAATTAAAATTGTCACTCTCAAACAGAAAAAAATGAATTCCGCCTCCACCTCGTACACTGAAAAAAAAATTTGTTAACTTGACTAAATCGATCAACTACGTATTATTTTATTAGCTAAACATATAGAAATTTTTAAATTAAATACAACATATTAAATCTAACAAAACGTGTATTTAATTTAAGTACTAATATATGTTAAATTAATAAAATAGTATTTTAGTTGCACGATTTAGTCAAGTTCACAAGTTTTTTCAATATAGAAAGACTCGATTTTAATTTACATAGATTCGTATTTTACGGACAAAAATACACAATATTGTAAACGCATTATATTGAAATTATATCTTGACACGATATCCGGTCAATACTTGAGCGTATATTTTTATTAAATATTTTTTCGGTATTGTGTCTCAAGTCTACAATTAAAAATCATCGCGTTTCATGCAATGAACTGTCATATATTTATTATTCAAGTACCTTACAATTAGCGGAGGTGGCAGCAACTTTGCTGAACCACCACTCAACATTCTCGTTGCGAAAATTTCAAATTCAATATACAAAATAATACACTGAGCAGGCCGGCAAAAACGCAGCCAACAATATATAAAAAGACTTATATATATATATTAATAAAAAATAATGATAGAAATATACTTTCCTTATCTCTTCTTTTCGAAAGAAGAAATCTCTCTAATAAAAAATATCAAGTATTTTAATATTTATGAATATCATTAATTAAATCTTCAAAATCTATTATATTCTTTGTTTCGCGACAAAATAATTTTTTGAATATTATTTTACTTTCTTTCAATTAAACTGAACTTTATATTTAAAAAACTTTATTAAAGTCAAGCTCTCAATAAACTTGGAGAAAAGATAAAATTAGCTCATTATAAAAATAGAAATAATTTATAATCATTAACGGGCGTTTTATTAAATTAAATTAAATGTGTTATAAAATAACTATTTCTTATTTATGTTTATAACATATGCATGTTAAAAAAAATCCCTATTATGATACATATTCAAAAATTAAAAAACACACACACATATATATATATATATATATATATATATATATATTTATCTAGATCATTTTCATTTCAAGATAATGAATTTGTGATATATATTTCTATATAATATTCTGATTAATTTGAGACTTCAATTCCTTTAATGTGTAACAAGTATAAAAATAAAAAAAATGGTAAACTCGGATCTCAAATAATTTGTAAGAATAAAAATGCGAATTAAAAAATTTTACTGATGTATCTATTATTGCAAATTATATGATTATTATCAGAAGAAAAAGTTGTTTCCTAATATTTTTATCTTATATATATATATGTATTAAAATATATATTAAAATGTTTATGATTATATCATTCTGAGAATTTTCACAAATACATTACCTTAAAATTTTTTTAAATAATCCAGGACTCACCGCAATTTGACGTGCAACAACAGAGACAATGTTCTAGACAATGTTGGATCTGTAAAATACAAATATATACTTTATGTATAAAAATTATCAAAATATTTTAATCATTTATTATATTTTAAATCTATATTTACATATTTCTTAAATATAATACAATAAAAAATTGTATTTTACACATATACAAATATTTATTATTAACAATTTGTAAGAATAAAAATAAAAATTAAAAGAATTTTACTGCATTAATTATTGCAAATTATTTTTTTATATAAAACAATTATCAAAATATTTAAATCATTTATAATATTTCAAAAAATGATTATATACATATTATACACATATAATTAATTTTTACTTTAAGATATTATAAAATCTCTCTCTATAGGATATTTTACATTCATTATACCACAATGCAAAATATATGAATCATTATCGCGAAGATAAATGGACAACCTCACAAATAAGAAATGAGAAGTTAAATAAATTATAAATTATATACCCTATCGTTGCTTCTGTTGCCCGATGCTTCCTCATCGTAGCTTCGAAACACTTGCACTCGCGTTATTTTTTTTTTTTTTTCGTTCGCGACACGACGCCCGAATTTTAGATATCACATTTTCGATGCGTTTCGGTTCTCGCGAGAACTAATTCGCGCGCGAATAAATCCGATGCTCCGTTTTCATGTCATGATACCGAAACAATAGGAATAACAAAATTGTGGCGCCACCTTGTTGTAATCGACCGGCGATTTTTGCGACAATTAATACTGAGCTAATTCGTCGCGAAACGATACTCGGGCACGATGACACGGAAATACAACCGGAAACGCGTAAAATCGCCCGCCTAGAAATACTCTCGACACGCCGGAAGACTCGAAAAATTCGCGTCGAAAATTTGCCCGTCAATTCTCGCGATCCTCGAAACATTCGCGCGCGCAAATTTTCGGCGACTCGAGTCGGAGCTACGAATGAAGCTACGAATCGCTTACGCGATTTCGGAGGAATTCGCGATCGACGAGATTAATTTAGCACGATCAATCGCGATCACGTTGTCAGGACACGCGACGCGATCGGATTTATGCGATAATTAACGGCGCGAGAGCACTAAATAATACTCGCACACACTCGCACTTTCGTGGACGACGATGAAGTGCAGCAGCATTCTAGATCGTGAACTGCGTTCGAAAAAATAATCACCTAGATTCACCTCAAAACGCAGAATTCGACCGACCAATCAGAGTCCGAGAGCCCTTCGTCCTGATTGGCCGAGCGCTGGAAGTGTCTAGTTTCGGGCCGCGTCAAGTGTCAAGTTAATTACCGCGGCGACCGCTAGAGGGCGCCACCGTGCCCGCACGTCGCGAAACTGGTACCAGTGCTGCTCCACTCACAATCAGTGGTGCACTTTCGTCGTTCGTGATCCACATCGGAAGAAGAAGAAGTTGTTTGTGATCGACATCAACATTAATTCGCCGGTCCGGTTCGCGATAGCGCGAGTGTGAGTATTAATTAGCGGCTTCTCATTAATTGTCCGATCACGAGATTGATCTCGTGGGCCGCGAATTTCTCTCGAAACATTTGCTCTTCTTCGTTTCCCTCCAAAAGGGGTCACGTGACATGACGTGACGTGACGTCACGGCTCGCGCCACCAAAGTTCGCGAAGGCGAGATCCGAGGACGAGTCGTGAGAGTTACCGGGCGCCTTTCGACGCGAAGTTTTCCAACTTTTTCGGCGCTCTCGAGGATGTTCTAAGCGGAATATCGCGCGTTTCCGGTAGTACTTCCGGGTCATCGTGCAGAAGTGTCGCTCCGCGACGAATTAGCTCGAATTATCGCGAAAATCGCCGGCGACTACGACGAAGTAGCATCGCCATTTTGCCGTCCTTGCCTTTCTCGATATCGTTCGTTCTTCTTTAACATTTTCTCGTGAAATATCGAGTCGGAAATATCTGACGAAGTGCGTTTATTAATCGTGTATTATCGAAATACGCGACGATCGCGAGTGTTTATGGTGTTCGACGACGAAATTTCTTCGGCAAATATTCAGTGCAATATATGTTAGTGAAAATATATGTGAATATAGTGAAGTTAGCGACCAATTCGGAAAATGCGGCGACGCGAAAACAGAGCGTCGGTTTTGTTCGCGCGCGAATTAGCTCTCGCGATTTTCGCGTTTCACCGAAACGCTTCGAAAATGTGACAATTAAAATTCGGGCGTCGCCGTCGCGAACGCAAAAATAGTAACGCGAGTGTAAGTGAACGAGTGCTATAAAGGAGTAAGAGAGATTAGGAGGCCCGAAGAGGCAATGGCGGAGCAACGATAGGGTAAATATAATTTATAATTTATTTATTTCATTTTTTTTATTTTTTATTTGTGAGATTATCGATTTATCTTCGCGATTATGACATACATTTTGCATTGTTGTGTAATAATGAATGTAAAATATTCTAGATTTTATATTTTGAAATATACTTAACATATTTAATAATAAATATGTAATAATTTTTAATAATTTTGTAATAATAAATATTGGTGTGTGTGTTGAAAATATTATATATATTGTATTATATTTAAGAGATATGTATCGGATATAATTATTTCTTTAATGCGTAACTAGATTTTTAGTGAAAGTAAATATTTTAATTTAAATATTTTTTATAGACATTTCTAGCTTTCTTTACAAAATATTTTTTTGCAAATTATATAATTTTTTAATATCTTAAAGTACGAATAAAAAATTTAATTATACACAATCATTTTTTTGAAATATTAAAAGTAACATTTAAATTTTCATTAATAATATATAATAATGATTATTTGTATACGTAAAATACAATTTTTACATTGTATTATATTTAACAGATATGTGGATATAATTATTTCTGTAATGCATATCTAGATTTCTTTACTATTAAATATTTTAATCAAAATGTTTAATAGTAAAAGTGAATAGTAAAATATTTTTTATGAATGTTTCTTTCTTTCAAAAATATTTTCTTTGCAAACTATATAGTTTTTTTAATATCTTAAATGTGAATAAAAAAGTTAATTATACACAATCTTGTTTTTAAATATTAGAATTAAGATTTAAATTTTCATTAATAATATATAAATATAATAATTTTTAATAATATTATATAATAATGAATATTTGTATATGTGTGTAAAATACAATTTTTACATTGTATTATATTTAAGAGATATGTATATAATTATTTCTGTAATGCATAACTAGATTTCTTTACTATTAAATATTTTAATTAAAATTACTTTTACCATTAAATATTTTAATCAAAATATTTAATAGTAAAAGTAAATAGTAAATATTTTTATGAACGTTTCTAGCTTTCTTTCAAAAATATTTTCTTTGTAAACTATATAGTTTTTTAATATATCTTAAAGTACAAAAGGTTTAACTGGGTGCACAATTTAATCATTTTTTTTTCAAATATTAAAAGCAATATTTAAATTTCCAAATTAATTTTAATACTTCAAAAATTATTTGAAATTTTATAAATGATTTAAATATTTTGATAATTGTTTTATATAAAAAAATATATTTTTGTATTTTACAGATTAACATTGTCTACAACTCCGTTATTACACATCAAATTGGTGAGTGCTGAATTATTTAAAAAAATTTTAAGATAATGTATTTGTGAAAATTATAATCAGAATAAAATAATTAGAAACAATTTAACACACATAGATATACTAATAAAAGTATTAAGAAAACCCTTTTTTCTGATAATGATCATATAATTTGCAATAATAAATGCATCAATAAAATTCTTTCGATTCTTATTTTTATTCTTACAAATTATTTGATATCCAAGTTTACCATTTTTATTTTTATATTTATTACACATTAAAAGAATTAAAGTCTCAAATTAATCAGAATATTATATATAAATATATATCACAAATTCATTATCTTGAAATGAATGATAGATTATTGCGTATATAATATATATATTTAATTTTTGAATGTGTATTAATAAGATAGAAATTTTTTTCAACGTATATAAACAAATCAAAAAATAAGAAATGTGTAATAGTATTTTATAACACATTTCAATCAATTTAATAAAACACCCATTAATAATAAATTATATCTAATTTTATAATGCGCCAATTTTATCTTTTCTCCAAACTTTTAGGTAGCTTGACTTTAATAAAGTTTATTAAATATATAAAGTTTAGTTTAATTATAACAAAGTAAAACAATATTTAATAAATATTTTGTTTCGAAACATAAAGTATATAATAGATTATTTTCAAGATTTAATTAATGGTATTCATAAATATTAAAATATACTTGATACTTTTCTTTGGAGAGATTTCTCCTTTCGAAAGGAAGAGAAGGAGATATATTTTTTATCATTATTTTATTAATACACATAAAACTTTTTACACATTTCCGCAGACCTGCTCTGTGTATTATTGAATTAACAATTTTCGCAACAAGAATGTTGCGACTAAACGCATATATCTATATTATATTTATTAATTGATAGACTATAAAATTTATAGAATATATATCCAATTTTCTCTATATGTAAAATGATTTTTATCATTATTTTTTATTAATATAGAACTTTTTACACATTTCTGCAGGCCTGCTCAGTGTATTATTGAATTAACAATTTTCGCAACAAGAATGTTGCGAATAAACGCATATATCTATATTATATTTATTAATTAATGGATTATAGAATTTATAAATATATATCCAATTTTCTCTATATGTAAAATGATTTTTATCATTATTTTTTATTAATATAGAACTTTTTACACATTTCTGCAGGCCTGTTCAGTGTATTATTGAATTAACAATTTTCGCAACAAGAATGTTGCGAATAAACGCATATATCTATATTATATTTATTAATTAATGGACTATAGAATTTATAGAATATATATCCAATTTTCTCTATATGTAAAATGATTTTTATCATTATTTTTTATTAATATAGAACTTTTTACACATTTCTGCAGGCCTGCTCAGTGTATTATTAAATTAACAATTTTTGCAACAAGAAATACATAT